CCTGTAAGGAGCATTGCAGAGTACATGCTAGCAAGTGAAAAGATCAAGTGGAAGAAGGAATACGAATATGTAACTGGCTTGGCCTTTTCTTTCTCCTCCTCTTTGTCTGCCTTGTCTAATGGTAATAATGGTTTCCCTTCATTGGTAAAAATCCAATAGTCAGACACTGTTCACGAAATATCTCACTAAATTTTGCTGCAAAGAAGTGACTAGGACTAAGGAGTTCTTTTCGGTAACACCACAAAACCACATATAACTAAACGCCAGAAGTTAAGTAGCAGGTAGTGGAAAAACATTTTAGTAGGTCGGTCAGAGGAAACAATTGACCAGTCCAACAAATAGCAAACCAGAGACAAATAGGGTACACCTATTGAGCTTCACAAATTGTAATCAACACTACAACTCCATTTTAAACACGGAGAAAACTGAAGGAGAAAACCAGTATCTTGAACTGACATCCAACAACTTAATAGTTACATTCCTTCTAAGCTTTGCATATTCAGAAAGGAAAGGAGACCATACAATACAAAAACCAAGAACAAAAATATCAAACATTCCTGTTACAGTTCACTTTGTATGATCGAGAAAAAGGGTAACAAAGATCATGAAAATGTCTTGTTTTAGTTTACTTCAACTCAAATAATCTTGAAGCCATTCCAACACCAAGTTACTGGCAACAAACATCAATGAAATTGATGTATTTCTAGTCCATATTATTGAAACAGATCCTAGGCATCTTTGCTCGACACAATGAAATAAGATCCTCACCTGCCCGGGGTGAGCTTGGAGGGGAGGGGGAGAGCAAGGTTGTAGAAGATCCAGCCCGAACAGCAGAGTAAACAACAGAGAGCACAGTGGTGAGTAGACCAATAGTTAGTGTGCTAGTGGAAACAGCTTTTGAATGCTTGTGAAGGCCATTGCACTCATAATCCCTTGGTTCGCTGGCAAGTCCACTATAGCAGAGATACATGCAGTACAATGAAATAACTGAAGCAGGCAAGATGCTCCCACCAACCTATTTGTGCCAATTTCAGTTGTGAGCAATATCATCAAGAACTACTTAAATGCAGCATTATCACATCTTACCCATGTTGAACATCTATGCACTTAATTCCATTAGAATTAAGGAAGCTCAGTACATAATATACCCCAAATAAAAAAGACCAAGGAAAAGGATATTTAATACTTCTGGTCAGAGAATGAAATCTAAGAAACTTACTGATGGATGTAGTGTCACCACAGCAAATGCAAACACAGAGATCAGAGTCATCACAATAAAGAAAGTGTTGAGCCCACAGTCATGTCCAGAAGCAGTAAAAAGATAGAAGAGAAGCCCAGAGAAGGCAAAAGTTGCCACATAGCACACAAGAGAGATGACGAGCAAAGCCATATACCTGCAATACATGAATGAAAGAAACAGAAAAAGAACAACATTAAAAATAGTTAGAAGAGCCAATCTAAATCAAAGTGTGGTAAAAGTAATAGAATCTTGAACAAAATGGTGGTCTAGAAGTAAGTGAGAACTGCTAATATAAAACAAAGTAAGCTAACCAAAACTTCTCATCATAGCCGACCCATTTGTCATTCCATCCATGAACAAAGTCCAACAAAAGCACAACTTGAACAAGAAGAAAGAATCCCGCACCAAACTTTGATGTTGTCTCTGCGTTTAACAGATGAAATACTAAGCATACTCCAGGTCATGAAGAAAAAAGAAAAAATTGCAAAAGGAAAGAGAGATGAGGATTAGTTGGCCATTATCCAAAGATTGTAATACAAATTTACCATTTTTCCAACAATGGATAATCCATTACGTGAAGCATTTGCCCCAAATCAATTAACACCACATATAAAGAAACTTTAAGGACAAGGACAATCCATAACCATGGGAAAACCTCAAAAAGATATGGCTTACCATAGAAGCTAATGATTTCATTTGGAACAAAAAACATCAAAATCACAAGAAGACACCAACAAATGATCTTTATCATCCATCCGCCATGGTGCACACTATCCCGAGGATCCTTCTGGTTTTTTATGCCCATCATGAAGACAGCTAGAATCGTGAAAAATAAGAAGTTTCCCAAACTAACTCGCAACACAGCATCTGTTTCAAACCACTCTCTATCCGGTGTTTGATGGAAATGATTAATCCCTGGGGAGAAAACCAAATAGCTGTCATCTTCATTATAACTGATTTAGGAATAAAACAATGATGCCTATTGACAATTTAAATTTTTCCCCCCTTATTTGCCTCTCTCTCAATTTATTACCTGGTTCCTAGAGGTCTATGAATATATGTAGGCAGCATAGCAGATGAGAAGCCAAGTAAAATTGATCAAGGGCAGAATTCACTTGTTTTTATGAACCAAAGTCAATGCGAGTTTAAAATTGCTCAACAAAGTAAAAGTTTGAGCTACAGAATATATATATCCTTCTCCAATTTCCCAGAAAAGCAAAATACATCAAAAGAAAATCAAAACGAAGATACATTTTCCTTTAGTTGGCTAACCAGGCTGCAGAGACACGTAACTGTGCAGTACAGGCCACTGAAGCAACAGTTAGAAACTCAAACTTAACAGAAGACATTTTTTAAAATAGATTCCCCTTCAGAAGGGATGAACAAAGAAGGAGAGAGAAGCAGGCAATATGAAATTCATGTTTTAAGATGGCAAAACAAGGCCCTGAACCACAAGGTAGTATTTCATTGTCCACCTAGTCTCTCATTCGATCACTTCTTTTCCCTATCAAAAAGATCATTCTTTTTAACTCTTCAGCTCGCAAAGCCCTTTTCATATGTTTTTCATTTCATACTTGATAACCACCTTAATAATCTTAACTAGTAGCACTTAAAAAAGCACTGCCTGGATATTGAACTGGTATCTAGAATAAATGAACCACGTTAACTATACAAAAATTCAGCTACGTCTCCAACTTAAGACCAAATTTGCCCTAAAGTACACAATTATAAATCAGAATTCTTTCCTCCTGCAACTAGTCCAACACTAAGATAATGCGTATTCACCCAAAAATCATGCAACAAAAAAAAAAGAGAAATTTTGCTAGTAAAAGACAGATAATCCAGTGGCTGCTTACAGGGGATTTTTTCCATGAGAGGTGCAGCAACTTCTCTAAGAATCCAAGAAACGATTAACGATAACGCAAAGAGGCCACAGTAGGCAATCCGAGCCGATTTACGGCTGATTCCGGACACCACCGTCCGGCAGGCGTCGCAGGCGCACCCGGCGCAGCATGACGCTAGGCATGTAGCTGCCCACATCTTTAGCTTCCACTACTTTAACAGATTGATCAAAAACCGTCCAGCACTGATTGATCAAACCCTAGAAATAACAGATGCAGTGACTAAATGGCAATAATTTATTTTTAAAAAAAAAACAAACAAACTAGTGCAAAATTGGTGTAATTCCCGGTGAAATAGATGGCTTAGGTTTTAGTTGTACCTTTTGCTCTTTTTCTGGTGATCGGAGGGTGAAAAGGTAAGGGGAATTAGATGATCAAAGGCGGATGGAAGAAGGGGAGAAATTGGGAAAGACTAGAAGAAAGAATCCATTGATGAACGATGACTCTGGTAACTTTGGAATGAGGACCTGGTTGTATTCCACTATTGAGACTTGAGAGATTGGTCCTAAATTGGGCGAGTTTTGAGTATGGGCTTTGACGGCTTAAAATCAGCCAAGAAAACGGGTTGGGCTCGGTCTTACGAAGTGTTGTATTGTTAGGTACCCTACACCAGTTAGTTATTTTTGACCCAAAATTTTTCTTTAATGTAATTTGATCTTAAAAAAACATGTGTGTTTGGATTGAAATAAAATAATTTGCTTCACAGATTCCAATCACCTTTTTATCTCACATACATCACATCACAAAAAGTGCTACAGTAATTATCTCAAATAAATCATCCAAATAAACTCCTATCCAAACAAACGATAATTGCGTTAAAGTCCTAATATCACGGAAATGTTTCCTTGTGCTCTATGATCCTTTGAATCTTCTAATGCAAAAATTTTCTTTTTTACGCATTTGTGGGGGTGAAAAGCAGCTAATTTCCTTTGAGTAATAATAAAATAAAACAACAATTTGTTAGATTTATCTCAAATAGCTTAAGTGTAGAAGCATCCCTTGTAATGTTTGTGTGTTACACTGTCCAAATTTTGCAACTTTTAGTTTTATCTTCTGCTATTGATATATTATTATTCTTTTTAAGACAAAAAAGAAAAACAAAGAGTAACAATCAAACAAACAAATTGCATGTTTGTCTGCTGGATTCCAACCTTTTCCTTCTCCTCCTAGCATGTAATGAAAAATATATGAGTAGTCGACCGTAATTTGAGGAGATTTTGATCTAGTGATTAAAATTAAAATCTTGATGTTTTTTATTCTAATCGCCCTACCTTCTCATCGATTTTTAAATCCCGTGTAGGCATGGATTGGAGCGATTTCTTCTTACATGTTATAGTTTGAAACTGAAATGTGCTTCTTTTTTTTTTTTTTTTTTTTTTGTGTGTGTCAGCTACCATAACATTTGAAACTGAAATGTGTTTCGTTCTATATATGACTGAAATGAATCACGAACTTTGACACTAGCTCCTAACCCTCCATTTTTTTACCGAACACCACCTAAATTTGGAGCACCCCGTTTGACCTGTCCAGGCTCCAGACAAGTCAAAGATACGTGGGTAGCAGTAGCACCCCATTTGGAGGCTGGAACAGAAATTGATATGACCCTACGACCCCTCCAATAGCCGGACTAATTAACGGACCTTTCCCCCAACCTTCTACGTCCATCAGACAATCGTCATCATTGATCATTTTGCCATAGCCATGACCCGACCCGACCCGACCCGTATTGGGGTCCCATATAAAATAATATCCGATTCCCCAAAACCCATAAATAAATACCATTCCCTTTCTGTCCAAAAGAAAAAGGAAAAAACGCGCAAAATATCAGAAAAAGGTTCCCAGTCAAATCGCACACGCAAAATCATACTATCCCAAAACCCAAAAAGGTGCCGCAACTCTTACCTTTTTTTTTTTTTTTTTTGCTTTTTTCTCCTCCTATCCTATTCCTATCTCTCTCGTTAATTAGGGGAACGCGTCGTCCATTTCCACAATACATCAATAAAAGTCCAATCTTAGTTACCATATATAAGTAGCAGCGGAAAGATTTTTTGATAGTCTCCTGTCTCCGGTCAGTAGTTTGGAAAGAAGTGCGTGTGTGCGTGTGGGCGGGCAGGCTCTCCTCCTCACATCCACCCGAAACGCCAGCCCCCCGACGCACACGGATTTCGAGCAACCGGAAGAAAAAAGCCCACAAAACAGAAAAGGAATACTCTGCTAGTACTATTTATTATTGTCCCAATTAAAGATTTTGATTAAATATTGATTGATTTCTTCTGAACATTAATTATACCTGAAGGGAAGATTAAAATCCGGAGTGCATCAGCTCTGATCGGTTCAACTATCCTTTTCTCTTCATTTTTCTTCGGTCGTAAGTCTCTCTCTCTCTCTCTCTCTCTCTCTCGTTTTGTGTTTATCTAATTCTATGTACCTAATGGCCGAAACTCGTCTGTAAATTCCTTGGCGCATTTTTGTTTTGGGTTGTTCCTTTAACTATGTCGTGAAGCTTCTTTTTACAGATCTGCTCCTTTTGATTTACGCGTTGATTTGCCGCATTATATTGTTAAATTTTGATCATGTGATTTGTATTGCCGACTGCAATGTGGAATCTCATTTTCCAGCTGTGAATTTGAGGGAACTCCTTTGTGGAATATTTTTAGCTGTTAGTTTTGGTGTGTTAAAACTTGTGATTAATTTTTGTTTGTCTGCGATTTTTTATACTGTTCCGTTAGTAGATTTGATTGAAGCGAATGTGAATTTGGAGGTCAATTGTGGACTCAAATTTGGGTATGAACTTGCGTGTATAAAACTAGTCACATAAGATCTAGAAGCTTTGGTTCGTTCTCGGGAATCCATCAGGATATATGGAGTATTTGGTGATTGTTTGTGTTTCAGAGGTAATTCCAGTGCTAAGATGAGTTGGTTACATTTTACAACTTGCGAGGGCTAAGGCATTGTATCGTAGTTTGGTGCATTTTCTCAGATCTCACTGATGGTTGAATTGTGCCGTGCTCTAACTCTAAGCAAGGATTGCAGATGGAGCAAAGAGGAGTGTGTGTTTTGAGCTTGTAGTTCTGATACGGCCTTTTTGATAATTACGCTAGGAAGGAATTGGATATCATTTCTAGACTGGATGTCATGGAGTCAGCAATGTTTGACTGACACTATTTAATCTGCCGGATGAAAGAGAAGAATAAAATTGGATGAAATGACTGAACCATATTCTTTGCCTTCAGGTGTTTGATTAGTATGAGTGATCATCTTTTCATATATTGCCTGCAATTGTAATTTTGGGCTGTCAAACTTTTCTCAGTCGTCTTCTCAGATTATGTTTGTAGTATCTTTCTCTTTATATTTTCAACCCTAATAACAGCCAGAGCTATCACATGAGGTTGGCCATGTTAACGCCTTTATTCAGTATAGAAGTGGGTGAACCTTTTAACACATTGAATATAAAAGTCCAGAACATTGACGTTTTAGCGCCATTTTGTTATTATGAATGTAAAAGTCCAGGGTGTCAAGTGATCACATGATCAAATGGTTGTTGATCATGCTTGGATACTTCCATGTTAAGCTCCCTTACCAGAATGTTTGAACAGCCCTGCTCATCTGGAAGGGATAAAGTAAGCAAACAGGGATTAAATTGATCTCGAAAACTTCCTGTTCTTTGGCTACTAGGTGTTCTCCTCTCTCTCAAACAGCAAGTTACATTTTAATTGCTGTGGTTTTGTGAGTTTAATATTGTGGACTGAATATCTGAAATGGGACAGTAAAGCAAGCACTTTTGATATGCTGCCCCTGCTTTTGGTTATAGTAAACGCTAGCCAATCTCTTTTATTGCCTGTATGATTCCAGATGATTGAGATTATATCATGGTGAATTTTCATGAGGAGAGTATTCTGATTGCCACTGAGGGCTCATCTCCTTATGACGTACCAGTGTGCCTTAAAGGAGAACTGTTATTGTGGTGGATAATTCTGTTTTTGATCTATTATTGCTCCATAGATGATTGAAATCATTGATTTATTTAATGATGTATTTCTAATTACTTTTGTATAATGAAGTCATACATCTTGTCTCTGTTCTATGTTAATTCTCACTCAATTTGCTAGTTGATCTGGCTTTGTGTGAATGCTAGCTGTTATTTTGCATACCAAAGACTTTTTTTATTTTCTGTATTGAATTTCATTAATGTGTTGTGATGAATTTTGCTTGAATATGGTGCCTGTCCTTAAGTTTAGATTGATGCAGGTGCAGACAAGCTGAAGTGGTAGCAGAAGCTTACTGTGTAGAAAATGGCTGCTATTGACAGCATCATAACTTCACCTCATAGGAGATCTCAACCTCAGAGTGGGTTTTCTTCACCAATGCTTAAAAAACAGATGTCACGTGGGGATGAATTCGGGAACTGCTCAACCCTCATTCAGCGGCACCGCTTCCTCCTTACTGCTCTGGCTCTTCTAGCTTTTCTCTGCACTGTTTACCTCTACTTTGCAGTAACCCTGGGTGGCAGTGACTCGTGCTCTGGATTATCCAGGGCTCAAAAAGCAGCATGTCATCTGCAGCAGGCAAAGGCAGCTGTAGGCAAGGGGAAATTGAAATTCTTCTAGCACCATGGTTGGCTGCTGATTTCATTTTGACTATATCACTCTTGGAACCTGGAGGAGGAAAATCTGAGATATAGACTTTTGAATATCAAGTAGGTTAGTTTAGCCCTCACTGCTTGAGTAGGAGGATGTGAAATTTTTTTTTGGAAAGCCAAATGATAAAATTGTAGCCGATTAAGTGAATTCTCCCTCGTGGAAAGGGATAAGTTGGGTTTTGGTGATGAGGGTTGTGTTGTCAATCATGGTCATATTATTTTTTGTTGTTAATAGTAAGAACGGCTTTTGTTTAGCTTTTCATATACTTTTATAACCCCCTAAGCTTTGCTTCGCTTGGCTTCCAAGCTCTAGATTTTGCTTTATGGCTTTATGAGTATGCGCTGCTTTTGCTTTTCATTCTCTGGTTACCAGTTTTACTTGAAACCTTTTTCCTTGTCCGCCGAGATCAGCGAAATTGCTGGTTTCTGTGAATCAGTAACTGAGATTTTGAGAAAGATCGACCACCATCAAAAGCTTTCTAGCCGTCCCCCCTTAAAAATAAAAAAAAAGGAGCTTTCCAGGCGTTGAACTATTAAATCCGATGTGATGGCAAGATGCCACAATTTGTCTCGCTTGATTCAAATCGCAAGAAATTAAACACACTTGCAAGTTACGATTTTCCTCAGCCCATGAGCATCACTGCTAAAAAGTCTCTAAGCCACCAATTTGTTTTTGTACTTGTACGTGGCAAATGGTGGGTAATATCATGGTTTAGGTTTTTCAAACAAAAAAAATATATAAAAAATTACTGTTCCAATTTATACTTTTAGGGATTTCCTTTTCCTTTGTCCAATTTTTAGCATTTGATTTTATGCAATTAAAATTTAAACCCCTAATCGGCTTGAAACTTGCAGTAATCTCCCATAATTATTTTTCCCTTATTTGCATGGTCCCATTCCGATCTTTGCTTTCAACTTTCAAGTTCCACTCATCTCCTTCACTAAATCTCCATTCCGATCATTCCCACTTATCATTTTCCCGCACCATTTCTCAATTTCCATTCCCAAAACCATGCCCGATTCCCTTCGGGTCCACGCCCGACGACTCGACTACAAACGCCTGTTCCCGTCCTTGCTCTCCTCGCACCAAACATTCCTCACCCTCATCTGGACTGCCGGATTCATCCTCGTCGCCCTTTGGCAAAAAACCGCCGTCGATCGCCTCTTAACCTACCACGACCAGCGCTTCTTCCCGCCCCCTCGCCCTATTCCCAAGCTAAGACGTCTGGCGTTCAACCTCGCCGACTTCGGTGCTGTCGGCGATGGCGTCTACTTGAACACTATGGCCTTCGAGAGGGCAATCTCGGAAATTCGCAAGCGAGGCGGCGGCCAGCTGAATGTTGGGCCTGGTCTTTGGCTCACTGCTCCTTTCAATCTCACTAGCCACATGACATTGTTCCTTGCTGAGAATGCTGTTATTCTTGGAATTGACGTAAGCGCCCTCGCCTACTTTGTTGCCTCCTCAAGGCGTATTAGGCAGCTATTTTTGCTGGTTTTGTTGTTTTACTGCTGCATTTGTTTGTTAAAAAAAAAATGTACTTAGCTGACTTGAAATGTAATAGGATGAGAATTATTGGCCTCTGATGCCTCCATTGCCGTCCTATGGATATGGAAGAGAACGTCCTGGACCTCGTTATGGAAGTTTAATCCATGGCCAGAATCTGAAGGATGTTGTGATTACAGGTAATTTGGTCATTCTGAAGTGGTTTCGCATTATGGAAATTAGATTTTTATTTAAACTCCTTGCAGATCTGATTTTTATGAGCTTGTGAATCTTGTACGTATATCAATCATTTTTGGCATGTTAGTAGAGTTAATAAGGTTCCAAAAGTGCGCCGAGTAGTAAATTCTGATTGGAAATAGCTTGTTGAGTTGGTGTGCTGTGATCTTTCAAATGATAACAGGGCACAATGGTACCATCAATGGACAAGGTAAAGCGTGGTGGGAGAAGTATAGGAAGAATCGGTTAAATCACACCAGAGGCCCCCTTGTGCAGATTATGTGGTCAAGGGATATTGTGATTTCTCACATTACCTTGCGAGATTCTCCATTCTGGACACTTCACCCTTATGATTGTCAAAATGTGACGATCAGAAATGTAACTATTTTGGCTCCATCTTCTGAAGCCCCAAATACTGATGGAATAGATCCTGGTAAATTTGCATTGTTTTATGCTTTTTCATAGAGTTTCATTCTTCTTTCTTGCTTTACCTTCCAACTTACAGAAACTGCTGGTCTTTTTGGTAATCTTGATCAGAAAATTGGTGCTACTTCTGGTATACTTACTTCTAGGCATGTTGTAATTCTTTCGTGCTAAATTGTAGCAATTAGTATGACATTTTTTAGTGCCTAGCCAAAATGGTGTTCAGTTATGATAGATGTTGGACCTGGAAGAATCAGAATGTCATTGTAGTTAGCTTGTTAAGAGTGTTTAGTAACCCAATGACTGTCATTGGGTTGGATAAATATGAGTTCAATATTGTGATGCTATGTTGTATGCCCTACAACTTTTTTCAAAATTTTCTTTTCCTTATTATGCTGTGAATATCTAGGCTATTCATAGACCATCTGCATGTGCCATTCTTTTAAGCAAATGTTAGACTCTATAGTGTAAAATTGACATCCTGGCAATGCAGATTCATGTGAAAATATGATCATAGAGGACAGTTATATAAGTGTTGGAGATGATGGAATTGCAGTAAAGAGTGGCTGGGATCAGTACGGAATTGCTTATGGTCGGCCTTCCACCAATATTGTCATTCGTAATCTCATTGTCCGTTCCATGATAAGGTGATCATTCTTCTGAAGTGTTTTATGAACATTGCACAAATGTACCACTCCAGTTGGGTTTCTTAATTTATCGCAGTATGCTTTCATTGATTAAACATTTATCTTCATGGAAGCATGTAATGCCCTTTCAGCAGAGTGGCAATTTGTCAAGGGTACCTGATATTTATAATTATGCTCCTTATTCATCTCATCATTTTAATGCATTTTTTAAATAGAAAGCTCTACCTGTGCTTCATCTATCCTTTTAACATTTGCATGCTGTGGGCACCTCCTGTGGGGAAAACTCAAGGTGTCGTAGTTTCTGAATGTTTGTATTGTTAGATCACTAGCTTTTCCAGCTCCTAATAGGTTATGTTCTGGATCACTAGATAATTTTTTAAATTATATGATGTCTTGATGTGCTACATTTGTTTGCTTTTGCCCACTGAAATTGATTCTTGAGTGTTAGCCCATTATATGTTGCGAAGATTTGTTTTTCCTGATCTTGTTTATACAATTTTTTTTTTTTTTTGGCTGATGAGCTATATACCCCAGATGCACACAAATATTTCCCCCTTGAATGTTGCTGGTGTCAGTGCATAATGATGCATTTTTTGTTGGCTTGGTATATGTATCAAGATATCCACCTGGCCTGTGCACTATATATGCACATTTGGGTTGTATATTGAGACATGGACTCGAGAAGGTTGGAAGTTTCTGAGAGTAGCAGAAGTATAGGCATTTGTGCATCATTCTTTCTGACTTCGTGACGTGGACTAGGAAGCATATGTAACGTATCTCTTTCAACTGAACTGTACATGTTTTTTGCAGTGCAGGAGTATCAATTGGCAGCGAAATGTCTGGTGGAGTCTCAAATATAACAGTGGAGAATCTCCTGGTATGGAACTCTAAAAGGGGTATAAGGATTAAGACCAGTGCTGGTAGGGGAGGATATGTTCGAAATATATCCTACCAGAACCTGACATTTGAAAATGTGCGGGTGGGTATTGTGATAAAAACTGATTACAATGAGCATCCAGATGAAGGCTTTGATCCAAATGCCCTTCCAGTTATTGAAGACATAAGCTTCACCTCCATACATGGACAGGGAATTCGTATTCCAGTTCGCATATATGGGAGCCGAGAAATTCCTGTGCGGAATGTCACTTTTAGGGGCATGTTAGTTGGGATAACATACAAGAAGAAGCATATATTCCAGTGCTCTTATGTTCATGGCCGTGCAATCGGAAAGATCTTCCCTGTCCCATGTGAGAATCTTGATGTGTATGATGAAATGGAACGTCTGGTCAGATTAGGAACAGCACAAAACAGCACAGATACGGATTATGATGCTTGACAAGGTGAAAGAGCCCATCCATGAAGTACTGTTGGCAAGTCCATATCATTCTTCCACGTCTACAATTTTTTAAAGCTCAGCAGTTCGAAGGTCAACATGCTTGGAGTGCTGAATCTACAGGCTTCATGAATGATAAAGATCTACAACTGCATTCTTTTGTCCAAGAGGTATTGGCTGTTGATATAATGCAGAGCGAATATCATGGTTAATGATGAAAGAAACAAGAGACTCGGTTCTTCAAATGTTGTCATGCTTGTTGAGTACCATATGCATTCGTTCGTTCAGCTGGTGGTGGTATTTAAAATGCAGCATGTTGAAAAGACCTGTAACCCGTGCAGGTGGCTTAGATAGTGAACTCAAGCGGGAGGAGACGATGCCCTTTCACGCGCAGAACAAAATACTACTGACACCCTGGTAACACACCGAAGGGCTATTACTCTTAACCTTGAAAATATGACGTTAGATGATATGGTTGTGCTACCTAGCAAATGTATGCCTCTGTTCAAAGCCTGTCTCTACCATGCCCCCAAGGCGAGCTTTCCACGGGCCCATGGTTGTATTTAGTCAATTATTTACATCCGAAAGAGTAGTGTTCTTTTGGTTTATTCATGAAAAATAGTCTGCATTGAGTATCAGATGATACAAGGAGACACATTCTGCAATTAGATGTTACAAACGTGCAAAAATGGTTTAAATTCGCTTTAAATTAAAAAGCATGAGGGACTTTTTCAAGTTATCCAGGACGCCTCAATATGTCGAATAAAAAGGAACATCCATTTTGTATTGAATTAATTAAGACCTGAATTTCTAACCCTTCGATTTTCTTCCTGCCTGGACTCTGTTAAATCTTGGATATACGTAGCCCAAATCATGTGTACAAGTGCCTAGGGCTCAGGTTACAATTCGTTGTCAGCATATAAATTAATGGATGACGTAATGAATCTAGCAATTGAAATTTATGCAATTCTGCAAGCATACTGATGCTGACAAGTTTAAAGTTCACGCACCAGAAGGCAAAAGCACTGCAGTCAGGAGAAGGAACTGCCTGATCTAAGAAACTGAAACCATTGTGTGCATCAGCCTTGATTCTGATCTATAGAAACTTGCGAGTTATACTACATTTAGTTCTTTTAGCCATGCTGTATGTAATGGGCATGGATCTGGTTTCCCTTCTGCGATTGCCTTA